TTTGTTCACCAAAGGGCTGGAGAGTGGTACAATAGTAAGTATCTGCAGGCAACAATGAAGCATGGTAGAGGTTCCTTGCAAATTTTTGGCTGCATTTCTGCAAAAGGAGTTGGATATTTGGTCAGTATCAATAGTGTCCTCAATGTTGAGAAATAGAGGCTGATACTTATCCATCATGCCATACCATCAGAGAGGCATGTGATTGGCCCCAAAATGATTCTGCAGCAGGACAATAACCCCAAACATATAGCCAATGTAATTAAGAATTATCTTCAGCGTAAAGAAGAACAAGGAGGCCCCCACAGAGCCCTGATCCAAACATTATTGAGTCTGTCTGGGATTACATGACGAGATAGAAGGATTTGAGGCAGCCTACAACCACAGAAAATCTGTGGTTAGTTCTCCAAGATGTTTGGAACAACTTACCTACCAAGTTCCTTCAAAAACTGTGGGCAAGTGTACTAAACTAATTGATGCTGTTTTGAAGGCAAAAGGAGGTCACACCAAATATTGATTTATATTGCTCTTCTTTTGTTAATTGATAAAAAATATACTATTAACAATTCTATTTCTGAAAGCTTTCTTAATTTACAGCATTATTTCATACCTGCCTAAAAATGTAGTGTATGTACAATATACTGTGTGTGTGTGTGTATATATATATATATATATATATATATATATATATATATATATAGTACAGTATGTAGTATGCCAGGGGTTGGCCCTCGAAGGCAGGCATGTTTAAGGGGGCCTATTTAAGAGGGAGGATTTGAGTACAGTCTGTGTACTCAGTGGTAATATGTTGCTTCCTCACTGCCTGTTTTAACCCCATAAATGCAGCATCACCACACACAGTTGTGGGATGGTTGCAGTGCAGCCCTATTCCCCTGGGGGTATACTTCCAGCCATTGCCACATCATGTGTACCCAGCTGCTGCCTCTGCAGTTAAATGGGGAGAAATTGGGGTTGGTAAAACAGCTCATGTGCATGTTTTTACTGACCTTGCTTCACATCTGTGTGTTTGCATGAAGGGAAGCCCATTCATTTCAATGGGCTGCTCTATCTGCAGAACTGCAGGGAAAGAAGTTCCCGACCCCTTTTTTTAAATTGTGCCACACCAAAAACACCCAGCATTTGCCAATTAGTGGGGTACCATTAATGGTAAACCTAAAGAGCAGAGCATTTGCATGTGTCAGGAATGAGCGCGGTCTTGAATGCATTCCACGACACTCAATAACATGAACCAAGTCTTGGACAGGGGTGCCTCGAGAGTGAAAATACTTTTCATCGGCGCACTGACTGGGAAGAGGTTGAGAAACACTGGTCTAGGTGAGGGAAAAGCCTGTAATTGTTACCTAAGTTTACACGCACATGAACGTTAATGGCATCCCAGTCTTAGTCCGTAGGGTTCAATATTGAGTTGGCTCACCCTTTGCAGATATAACAACTCTTATGGGAAGGCTGTCCACAAGGTTTAAGAGTGTGTCTAAGGGAATATTTGACCATTCTTCCAGAAGCACATTTGTGAGGTCAGGCACTGATGTCGGATGAGAAGGCCTGGCTCGCAGTCTCTGCTCTAATTCATCCCAAAGGTGTTCTGTCGGGTTGAGGTCAGGACTCTGTGCAGGCCAGTCAAGTTCCTCTACCCCAAACTTGCTCATCCATGTCTTAATGGACCTTGCTTTATACACTGGTGCACAGTCATGTTGGACCAGGAAGGGGGCATCCCCAAACTGATCCCACAAAGCTGTGAAAAACTAAGGTGAGATGTGTTCAATGCATTAGATTCAAGTCTTACATTTCAGCTCTGACTGGAGTGTGCCTTTATTCTTTTTCTTCTATAATGTATCTGGAATAATGGAAATTAAAAATAAGGATAAGCAGTGATACAAATTTACAAAGACTTAATGTCAAAATATGAAGTTTACAAAACTGTATAGTCCCATGTGTTTCCTAAAAAGGCTTAAAAAATATCTGTAAAATGTCATCAATTTGTTGGGGTAACTTGATAATGTTTTGTGACTATGCGGTAATTAGGATGAATAAATAGCTGGTGCCAAAGAAATATCTTAGTCAAGCAATTTAAGAACAAGAAAAAAAACAAAATATAGGAACTAAAAAGAAAAAAGGATGTGTCACTTTACAGATGCTGACAGTAACAAAAAGTTAATTAGATCCAACACAGAGCCCAAAAATATAGGTAAAACTAAAATTGGAAGTGTTTTTGCAGCAATGTTCTCCTTACCCTAAAAAATCTCTGGTGGATGTGCACATCAGGATTAGGAAGTCACAGCCAACATCAGCAAACACAGCCAACTCCAAAATCTAAGATGACCATTTATTTTAAAGTCACCAACATTTTTAGCTGCTGACTTAATTTTCACAATGCCGGGTGAAGGTCTTCCACTTCCCACCCAGCCTATTGTAATAATATGGCTAGGCGAGTGCTCTGTTATCCTGGGTGGATGTCATATGATCAATCACAGCGATCATATGTAGGTTGTAAACAAACAGTGGCTTGTCATGCATTGCTCTTGTGTATTATTGTGATCTCTGTGATTGGTCACAGCGGACCTGTACCACATAGTAGCAGAGGGCAATTACAGCTATCACAAGAGTACACAATAAAACATGAATGGATACCATTCACAATGAATAAATTATCTTCACTATGGTGACACTGTACTGCTTTGGTGACAGTATGTAAAAATAAACTGTGCAAGAAAAACAAAGTTTATTTAATTGCTTTATTTTCCAAAAATGACAAAAAATTACAACTTAAAAAAACTTGCCATGCTTCTTACTAAATACCTTGGGGTGTCTACTTTCCAAAATGGGGTTATTTTGGGGGTGTTTGTATAGTTCTGGCATTTTAGGGCCTCAATAAATGAGATGGGCCGTCAGTACATCAGGACCGATCAATTTTCAAATACTGTATATATACCATCGTTTGTAGACTCTACAACTTTCACGAAGACCAAACAACATACACTGATTTGGGTGATTTTTATAAGAGAAATGTAGCAGAATACATTTTGGCCTACATGAATAAACATTATTTATTTGCATGTTTTTTTTTCAAAATTATCAATATGTTTTTGTTTACATAGCAAAAAAAATTAAAAAACCTAGTGGTGAATAAATACCACCAAAAGAAAGCTTGATCTGTCTAAAGAATGATAGAAATGTAATTTGGGTACAGTATTGCATGACTGAGTAATTGACATTGATGTTCAAAGGGTTACAGTGCTGACATCTGAAAATCAGCCTCGGTAGCAAGGGGGTGAAAGTGTCCAGTACTGAAGTGGTTTAAGCCAAACTACAGCTTTACTATCACTTTAAATTGTTCATTTGGGCAAAGCTGGCCCACACAAAATATTTCCTTTACTAATACATTCAGCCGCTGTCAGCACTGTATAAACTGTATATAGCATCAGCTACATACAATATACAGCACTGTGTTCTGGCAGTAGTACAGGGACTTTCCTTCCCGTTCTTGGGACAGAACTGAGTTGGGTTTAGTGTTGCTCAGCCACTCCAGGAAATCTTTTATTTTATCAGTGAATACAAGCAGTTCTCTCAATGGCTGAGGTGGAGATCTGTTTGCAACAGATTCTTGTAACTGTCAAGCAGATACATTAATCTGTCAGAGGCAGACACTAAGGTCATAGTGTCTGTACTAGACACCCCTTCTTCAGTGCGGTTCCCTTCCCAGCCACTTTGCCTGCCTATGGCTAAGGGCTGTTGTTGTGGAGTGGGTGGAGCCTCATGGGAAGAGATACTCATTTTCTCAAGTTCTCCTTGCTTATAATTGAAGCACATGGCAGTGGGCGGATTCCATAACTGTTATTCGAATAGCTGCAATTGAAACCACCCACTGCTTTTTGCTGTCAATCACAAGCAAGGAGGACATGATGAGGAACTATTATCTCAGAGTTTTCCATTAGGCCCACCCAACAGACACAGCAGGCATGAAATGTAAATGTTGGGTAGGTGGAACCTGATGGGGAACCCTGACACTAGCTCCCAATCACATCCTTCTACCAGGTGGCAGTGGGCAGATTCCAAAGCCAATATTGGAATGAATAGCGGTTATGGAATCCACCCGCTGCTATCCACTGTCAGTCACAAGACAGAAAGACCTGCTGAGGAACTAGATTCCCACCCATGGTCTGAGTGCCTCTGCATCATTGGTCGCTAGGATGCTACAGGCCTGCTCCATAGCAACCACTAAAGAATATGCAAAACAGAATAAAGTAGAATTAACACCACAACATCTCCCCCGCTTCCACTGATTACTCTGGCCTGTCTCTGAGTGTGAATTTATAGTTGGCTTTAATTACCTGCCGTTCCCTAATCTATTAACTGGAGGTACGTTATTCTTTTTAAATCTTTTGCAGTCACAAGGACACATAAAAAAGTGACATAAATAGGAAACTTCATGTATCTGTTGCATGCTTTTATAATTTTGGCACAGGGCATTTTATAAGGTCAATGCTGCCAGAGATGTTTTGTAAATGCTTTACTGAATTGCCCCCAATATTTTGTGTTAATAAACAAAACATGGCAATTCTTTTTGATACACAGTAGTTCTGTTCCATTAATATGCAGTTTATGACAGATTTTAGGGCATCAAGGATGAGTCTTGGACGGGCGCCATATTTCATCCATATTTGGGTTGTGGACCCTTTAAGGGGGATGATTTGTGTGCAGTTGGTGTATTCAGCATATACGTTTACTTTATTATGTGTTGTTTTGTGTCTTATAGTTTTGTAATAAAAAGTTTTGCAACTGTTAAAACGTTGGCTGCATAAAAGTAATATACCACATTTTTTGCTCCATAAGACGCACCTGACCATAAGACGCGCCTAGGTTTTAGAGGAGCAAAACAAGAAAAAAAATATTCTGAACCAATGGACTGCAGACATAGTACAGGGGATGACCAGAGACTGCGGACATAGTACAGGAGATGACCAGAGAATGCGGACACAGTAAAAGAGATGACCAGAGACTGCGGACACAGTACAAGAGATGACCAGAGACTGCGACATAGTACAGGAGATGACCAGAGACTGCGAACATAGTACAGGAGATGACCAGAGACTGCGCACACAATACAGGAGATGACCAAAGACTGCAGACATAGTACAGGAGATGACCAAAGACTGCGGGCATAGTACAGGAGACGGCCAGAGACCTCAGACATAGTACAGGGGATGACCAGAGACTGCGGACACAGTTTAGAAGATGACCAGAGACTGCAGACACAGTACAGGGGATGACCAGAGACTGCAGACAGCACAGGGGATGACCAAGAGACTGCAGACAGTACAGGGGATGACCAAGAGACTGCAAACAGTACAGGGGATGACCAAGAGAATTCAGACAGTACAGGGGATGACCAGAGACTGCAGACAATACAGGGGATGACCAGAGACTGCAGACAATACAGGGGATGACCAGAGACTGCAAACAGTACAGGGGATGACCAGAGACTGCAGACAATACAGGGGATGACCAGAGACTGCAGACAATACAGGGGATGACCAGAGACTGCAGACAATACAGGGGATGACCAGAGACTGCAGACGGTACAGGGGATAACCAGAGACTGCAGACAGTACAGGGGATGACTAAGAGACTGTGGACCTTTGAGGAGGGAGGGGGAGCGGGTACCTGAATTTGACAGGTACCCACTCCCACTTCCATGGAGTTGTCCTCCCTTTAGTGTGGGCACCTGGCTGTGACAGCTGGGTGCCCACTGCGCATGCGCGAGTAGCACTGCGCTTTGTGAATGGCCCTGTCATGTGTCCCAGAAGACACCAGACCATTCACAAAGCGCAGCGCTTCTCGTGCATAGGCAGTGGGCACCCGGCTGTGACAGCCGGGTGCCCACACTAAAGATGCTGGCGCCGGAAGACTGTACAGCGCTGGACCGAGGAACAGGTAAGATCCTGCTGCAGAGAAGAGCCGAGCGGCCAGCCCGGTATTCTGACACGGTGGCTGCAGCAGCGGAAATACCGGACCAGCCGCTCCATAAGACGCACTGACATTTTCCCCCCTTTTTTGGGGAAACAAAAGTGTGTCTTATCCAGCGAAAAAAATATGGTATATGTTTTTTTTTTTCTTGCTTCTGTGGCAGTCCTATAAGGTAGACATTTAGAAGTGGTTTGTAAAAGTAATTTTTCTACTTTGGGCTCTGGGAGTATATGCTGTTTTTTATTCTATATCTCTTACGTATGGGCTTTAAGGTCTGTTCATATTTTTTGTTGTTGTGTCTGAAGTGCTGCACATCTGTTGGAAGCTGCCAAAAAGGGCTCAGTTTGGACTATTCTTCCTGTGGGTAAAACCCTTGTCGTTTGCTGGAGTTAAGCTATTTTCATTTGCTGCTGAAATCATAGTTTTTTTTATCTTGGGAAAAAAATAAAGACTTTCTGTTAATGTATCAGAAGTTCAGGACCTTAGCATTCCACCTATGCAAAAACTTGATCCACTATTTAGATGGTTAGCCCCACACTCCTCAGACTTTGTTAAAAGGCTTTAAACTGTTCACATCTACAAACCAGCCAGGGGACTTAATCTCACATAGGACAGAGAGGAGCTAACTCTGGGAAACTGCATTATTCAAAAGATTACAGTACTTTCCTAGACTGTTCAGCAAAGACAACCTGAAGTTTCAGTATCTGTGTGATCTTCTTGAGCTTGAAACTGCACATCTAACAGGTCCTACAGTAGCTACCTAGAGACACACACATGTTGTAAACCCATTGCCTTACAAAATTCAAGAAAAATGGACGAGATATAAGGAAGAACATCAAGTCTTCTTTCCACCCTTCTCTTTTTAAAGTTCATCAAAGACATAGCTAGAGTTCCAAGCTACCAAATTGCAACTTGAACATTTCTAGGCCTTCAACTACAAGAAGAGAAAACCTATCCACTAAATACAAAGACTCTATAAATGCTATCTTTGGTTAGAATGATGGTAGTTATTACTGCAAGTAGCAACAGTGAAGAAAAGCATAATGACCCAAACTCCACTCCTACTGCTTATTCACAACAAACCATATTCTCTCACAAAGTGTTATACATTAAAAAAAAACCCTTTTGAAAAACACAGGGAGATTTTTAGAAAATATAAAGTTTGCATCAGATGTGTTGTGAATGTTACAATGAGAAGGCACATATCAGCCTTACTAAAGGCCCCTTTAAACAGCACACTGTATCTACTGAAGATCTTTCACTCACGTCAGATGATGATGGGGAGAGCCATGAGCACAAGGACAAGAAGTTTATTTCATTCGTTACTGGAGAGCACAACATTTTACAATTTATCAACTGTGGTTCTAGTTATGTTGTGTATTTAATTCAGTATACAGCATGTCATGTACAATATGTTGGATACACCACACGCCCATTACATACAGGCATTGGGGAACATTGTTTTGATAGTACTAACACCAATTCTAGAAATATCACCAACGTGTCCAAGCATTTTAGGGACATAAATAATGGAATCATGTCATCTTTTTTCTTTCTGTGGTGCTGAAAGGGTGCTCCTTGCTGATAGGGACAGGAAAAGATACAGAGGCTTTTGAAGCATGAGGTCTGGTGGATCCACAGGTTGCAGGCCTGCATGTCCTGTGGTTTAAATCACCGATGGGATGTGGATCTGTACCTACATAACTACTCCCCACCATGCTTTCATTATGTGCTCTGGTCTCCCACATATTTCCTTCATTTAGTAAGGTTTGATATTTATTGTAACATCAGGAGAATGCAGTTTCAATTTTGGTGTCTTCTGTTGGTGCTGCTGATACACATTTTACTCATTTTATTTCAATATATGTGTTGTAATTGAATAATGGTTTCCTCTTTTCATTGTCCCTTTCTTTTTGCACATGTCATGATTGATTATTATTTAACTACTTGACCTCTGGACGGTTTTACCCCTTTCATGTCCAGGGCATTTTTTTGCTATTCACACTGTGCTATTTTAATTGGGAGTTGCTCAGTCATGCAACACTGTACCCAAATGAAGTGTATATAAATTTTTTCACACAAATTGAGCTTTCTTTTGGTGGTATTTAATCACCACTCATTTTGTCATTTTGCTGTAGAAATGAAAAAACACCAAACATTTTGAAAAGAAACACATTTTTTTAGTTTCTATCATAACATTTTGCAAACAAATGATCTTTAAGCATCATAAATTTAGGTCAAAATGTAATCTGCTACATTTCTTTCATAAAAATAACCCAAATCAGTGTATATTATTTAGTCTGTAGGAAAGCTATAGAGTCTACAAACTATGGTATATATAGTATCTATATTTGAAAATTGATCAATTCTAATGTACTGATGACCTCATTTCTTGAAGCCCTAAAATGCCAGGACAGTACAAATACCCCTCACATTACCCCTTTTTGGAAAGTAGACAATCCAAAGTATTTAGTAAGAGGCATAGCGAGTTTTTTGAAGTTGGAATTCTTTTGCCACAATATTTTTAAAAATGAAGAAATTAAATTAAAAAAAATTTCAAATTTTTTTTTTCATATTGTCAACAGTGCAGTACAGTGTAACCGCATGACACTCTCTTACCACTGACACTAAGCATGGGATGCCTGCAGTGAGGTTTCCCACACCACTCCTGTGTGAACAAGCCTGGGTTCACATAGGAGCACTGGGTAAACCGAATGCATTTTGGACAGGATCACATTCCTGTTCAAATCACATGCTATTCTTTACGATGCAATTTACGTCCATTGAGGCAAATTGGTAACCGAGCTGCTTAAAGCCCAGAACAATGAGTCAAGACACCCAAGGTCAACCAGTTGAGGAATCCCAAAATGGATACCCCCTGCCCCGGTGAATGCTACCAACTCTGAACTGAATACCACCCTGACATGGAACTGTGATAATTTTATACAGAAACTGGATTTTTGGGCCCAAAGAGATGCAGGAAAGTTGGGGGAAGGGGGGGAGAGCACTTTGTCTGGGAGCAAGGGTATTGCCTTGCAGATGCTAGCCATTCAGACCAGCCCTGCACTGTGACCAAACAGCTGATAATTCTCCAACTATTAAGGCTCCCTCTGCTATAGATTGCTCATGACATTCCATTAGCAGGACACCCGGGGGAAAAGAAGAACAGAAAAAAGGCTGGCCTCAGGCATTCTTCTAGCCTGGTATCTCCCAGTCTGTTGCCCACTTCTATGGGATCTGCAATATTCGGCAGAGAAAAGGACAGAATGGAAACCACCTCAGGGCCTCTCACCACCCATGCCCATAATTGAAGAACCCTTTTAGGGGGGTGGCTGTGGACATTATCGGCCCCTTTGCTCGACCCAGTAGGTCAGGGAAATGACACATGCTGACTATAGTTGATTTTACGACCCACTACCCATAACCATGTCCAGCATTTAAGAACCCAAGGTAGCGGAAGCGTTTATTACAATTTTTTCCACCGTGGGGTTCCCCAGTGAAATCCTGATTGATCAAGGAACTTTGGTTGTAAGTGTTTTATCTTCTTTGTGAACTTTGCTAGCAGTTTCTAAAACATTTTTTCTGTCACTTTTAAATAGCATTTTTTTCTTTCCTTCCTTCAGTCTGCTAATTAAGGGGAGTGGTTAATTTTTCATAGGTGCTACAGGCTGACTTTCTGTATAGCTCACAGTCAGCTTGCTCACATTTTGCTGTCTGGAACTTTGAGAAAATTTAAATTTGACTAAGCAGTCAAGAGTTGAAAACAGGGGATGAAAACAGGAGTCATTTAGCCTGTAAATAACATCTTAAATTTCCTGTAAGTAATATTAATATTGTAACTGGGATAACGACTGCTATCAAGACTGAATGTTTTGTGCAGTGCAAACTGTGCTTCATGTATTCAATAATGGAGCAACAGCTCCAGGATGAATACTGTTGCAACTGTTGTAAACAGGTTGCCCTTCTGGAAGCTCACAAATTGCAACAGTGAGCAGAACTGACAATCTTGAAAGGAGTCTTCTGCTCACTTAACAAATGGTTAATGGTATTGATGTGGAGGGTGGAGAAGTAAATCAGGATTATCAGGTAGGAGGATGGATTACTGTTGTTGAAGAGAGTGGCAGGGGTTAATAGAAAAGGATGGCCAGTCCTTGTTTCGAGCACCAAAACAAATTAGCTAAGTTGGGTGAAGATGCGGAGGTGGCAAACACAGAGGTGGGTCGCAGCCCTACATGTCAGTGCCACCCCTAACAGCTGGCAGAGCAACCCATCTAGTATGGGTGGTGAGGGTGGTGCAGAAAAGCCTATACAGTTGGAGGTATTAGGGTATTCTAAAATCAAAAGGACTGGTAGAATAATTTGTCACCAGGATTGCCTCAACCAAATGGTTTGCTGTCTCCCTGGTGCCAGGGTTTGGCATGTGATGGATAAATTACTGGGAGGGGCTGGGCATGACTCAGCTGTATTGGTCCATGTTGGAGCCAATGACAGAATACATGGGAGATGCAGGTTCCTTAAGAATCAATTTAAAGAACTAGGCTGCAAGTTGAAGGGAAGGGCCTCCAATGTAATATTCTCTGGAATATTTCC